TGGGGGGAGGATTGGGAAGGGGAGGGGGGGGATGAAGAGGAAGGGGCAACGCAGGATCCGTTTCCCGCCTTGAGCCCCCGCCGCCGCCGTGTGAGGAGGAGCGGGCCGGTGCGGGCAGGTGCTCCTGCTTTGTAGCCTGCTTGCTGAGATTGCCGCTTACCGTTCCTTCGAGTACGCTCAGGCAACCTTTCTAGAGTGGCAAGTTACTCTGTCAGTTTATTTAGTGACACGTTCCTGCCATATTTCAAACTGCCACAGTAAAGGGTCTGAAGTTTTCTGTCTGGAAAAACGTTTGCTGAATTAACTCGTGGTTGGATGTGGTGTAGGTCCGGTTCTTCAGTGTGGCAATTTTTGGGATGCGTTTGCCCACAGGACTGGCCTCTCAGTGGGTCTTTTCTGTCTTGCTCACTACTGCTACCTCATTCTAAATGCCCCTTTAGATAAGTTACGCTGGTGTGACACTGTTCTTATTGTCTGTGAATCAGCTTCTGCTGTCATGCTAGATAGTTTTTGGACTGTTGTGACCATTGCTATGTTATAATCTGTGGCACAAACTAGCACCATTTACTTGGATCAGGAACTAACTCATTTCACTGTCATAAAGAGCATGTGTGTCCACTAGGGCTCTATGATCCTTTTACTAACTCCTGATACAGTTTCAGTACACCTTCAGTGTACATAAGTGGGACTACTTTTAGGTGAGGAATGCTTGACTTCAGCTTTGTTCATTCATCCTTGGAAGAGTACGTGGAATATAGGAATATACCACTTTATTTTCTAAGAATATTCTATATGAGTAATGATAAATATAAAAGGGGTATCCTTTTTATAAAGAAGCTTTTTGCAGCCTGTGTATCTTAAGGAAATCACACTTTGGTATCTTTTGTGTGTGTGTCTAGTAGAGAACACTGTGCTTTTGTCAGGTATTGGCATCCTTGTGGAGAAAGCTCTTCCTCCTTAAGAGAGAGAAGTATTTCATTGCTTTGGAAACAATGGGGATGCTTCTCAACTTGCAAACTTTGTTGTGTTTCAGTCCATAAGATCTTAAATCCCATTGCTGTAAGTAGCAATACAGAAAGTTACAAGTCTTGCTAAGTTGTTTACATGTACTACTGCCTTAGATACTGCCAAAGAAAAATTAAAATAGCAAAATTGGAAAGAATTACAAGCTCACATCAGTTTTCTTAGGAAACTAAGATTCCTGCTACTTTTTCCTGTCATCTGGTTTTTGCTTAATTTACTATTGTTGTTGCTCATTGTAATATGAATATGTAACCGTGATAACTGCCATAGTTTTACATTCCATCTAATAGAATACACTTGTTAAAACTGTTCACCACATTTGATAATGTAAAGCCAGTCCTCTGACCTGAGTTTGCCTTTGGCAACCGAGGTATGTGGAGATATATTACAACTCTGGTTTGTAGGAGATAGTACAACTGATGATCTGAAAATATAGCTTGTGAGAATTTTGACTGCCCTGACATGCTGTTTAACAAACAAATTCACTCTTGTGCGAGCAGTTCAGCAGGAGGGACACTACTTCTGTGGTGGGTATAAGTGAGCATTTTATAAGCATCTTAAGTCTGTATTGCTATGAGGTAATACATTACTTATGGCTGTTTTGATTATTTTTCTGTGTCAAGCTGTGACTTGATAAAATCTCATAATTTTGAGTTATTTTTTTCTATGTGCTGTATAGACCATGTGCTATTTTTAAGCTACTGTTGTAACCTGTGCATTCTGTCTCCCTGAGCAGTTGAATGCAGTGAATATTGGAAGCGTACTTTGTATCAACCATCTGTATGATTTCTGATTTTGGTCTTTTTTTTTCTCCTTTCCCACATAGTACATCTTTTGGGTTCATTTGCATTTATCTTCTGAACAAATAAAATCAAATTACAATTAGTGGATTAGAACATGGGGATTTCATGATTGATCCTAATTTTCTGATAAATAGCACTTATAGTTGCAGGGTTTTTTTAAATATCTAGGAAAAGCATGATTTCTTGATAAGCTTGCAATAAATACTGAGGCATTCATACATCTTGACTCAGGAGCAGAGCTTAAAAAATCTGTAATGTGTTGAACTACAACTACAAAATTAATAGCTGACTATACATTTCACTGTGATGCACTGCTCAAATTGTACAAGTACATCATAATGTGATGACAAAGTGATTCTGTTGTGGTTTTAATTCAGGTGTTATTATGCAACAATATTAGGACTTTTTGGCCAATGGGAGAAAAACTTGCTTTTTCTCTTCCATCTGGATGTATATCAACATTACAAGTGCTACACACATTTGTAGTCCCACCAGCAGAGCAAAAGATTAAGAAGTTGATCCAATCCCTATTGGAATCAATTTCAAGTGAAGTTTAATGAGCTCTTAAATTGATAGACTGAATTATTCTGTTCACTAGAGTCCATCTGTGCAGTCTAGAACTGACCTCTTTTATCAGGAGCATTTGGATATTGTGGTGATGTAACTCAGTTTGCTTTTAACTCGCTTTCAAAGCAGTATGTAGTTGCAGAAGACAGACTGCAGTTTCCTTCATGCAAAACACTGGAATAGGCTAGTTACATATGGCCATCTGAACACTTCAAGGAATTTTTAGCTTTCCTGTCACAGTCTTATATGATTGTTCAACAGAATATTTGTATCTGATTTCAAGTTATTCCACTATTTGTGGTATTGGAATTCAGATTATAAACCAGTTTACTCTTCATCTAAAATGAAATATGAATTCTTCTTTCACTGTCTTTGTTAAAATTCCCTCTTGGGACAACCATTTAAACCACTGTTACATAATTATGCTTGCTGTCTCTTTGAGGAGGAAATAAAGCAGTCAGGATGGGAATTTATAGATATTTTTTTTTCTGGTCCTCCACACTGTTGAGATTAATAGGATAAGAATATATGAATGTATGTATCAAGACTTATTGGGAGTATTCTATTCTGTCTATTCATTCAGTCATCTGTGATTGGAACATAAGCACTGGTTGTAATTGTTTAAGCAAAAAGAAAGAAAAATAATAGTGGCCATGTATAAATCTGTCAAAATGTATTTTTATTTTTGAACAAATATTTCAATCAACTGCATTCATAGCATTGTTTTTATGTCCAAGACATACTATAAAAAAATTTAAGAGTTGGGTTTTTTTCAGATGTGTGTTATGATGATTATGATCTGTCAGTCCAGGTTTCACTGGATGAAATCCTACCTGTCTTATTGCCGTGTCTGTTTTCAATGATAAGATAAAAAACAGTGAAGCAAAGATTTTGCCTCATTGACTTGGGTGGGAATTTGCTAGCATCTTAATAGGTCACTTTACAGAGGTCGTTCTTGGTACAAAAGAATTTCACTTGGTAGTGATTGGTACAGATTTAATTTGGAGAATGTTTACTCACTTGAGTCACAGAATCATCTTGGTTGGAAAAGCCCTTGAAGATCATCCAGTCCACCCATTAACCTCACACTGACCGTTCCCAACTCCCCCAGATCCCTCAGCGCTATGTCGACTCTACTCTTCAACCCCTCCAGGGATGGGGACTCCCCCCCTGCCCTGGGCAGCCCATTCCAAGGCCCAACAACCCATTCTGTAAAGAAATCCTTCTTAATATCCAGTCTAAACCTTCCCTGGCACAGCTTGAGGCCATTCCCTCTTGTCCTGTCGCTTGTTCCTTGGCTCCAGAGACTCATCCCCCCTCTCTGCACCCTCCTGGCAGGGAGTTGCAGAGGGCCAGGAGGTCTCCCCTCAGCCTCCTCTTCTCCAGACTGAACCCCCCCAGTTCCCCCAGCCGCTCCCCAGCAGACCTGTGCTCCAGACCCTGCCCCAGCTCCGTTGCCCTTCTCTGGCCACGCTCGAGTCATTCAACGGCCTTTTTGGGGTGAGGGGCCCAAAACTGAACCCACTCAGCGAGGGGCAGCCTCCCCAGTGCCGAGCCCAGGGCTCAGATCCCTTCCCTGTCCCTGCTGGCCACGCCAGTGCTGACACAAGCCAGGATGCCACTGGCCTCTTGGCCCCCTGGGCACACTGCTGGCTCCTGTTCAGCCGCTGTCAATCACCCCCCAGGTCCCTCTGTGACTGGCAGCTCTCCAGCCACTCCTCCCCAGGCCTGTAGCCCTGCTGGGGGTTGTTGTGGCCCAAGGGCAGCCCCCGGCACTTGCCCTCAGTGAAACTCCCCCAGTTGGGCTCAGCCCATCTCAGTAAAATTGAGTCACTGAAGTAAAAATTCACTGGCTCAGACCGTACATCATTATAGTAGTACTCGAGCGTAGTTGCGTAGAGCTCTGCAGGATCTTTTTACCACAATGATGATAGTACAGTATATTGTGAAAGTAATTGTAATGTGTAATATATAATTACAAGTAATGTATAATTATTTCATAATAGAGAATTGTAGGAAGTATTGCAAAGGTAATTAAAATGTTGTTCACTTTTATATTTTTAAATTCCCCGTTATCACCTTTCTTTGACTTATAAACTAAGAAAACTTAATTGTTCTCTAACGTAGTATTAAAATGTAGCCTTACTTCATTCTTTTTGTTTTGTTTCCAGGTGGAGGCATAGCTGTTGGAACCCTTCTTCTTATTGGTTAGTATAGAAAATATAGATGCTTAAAGTCGTATTCTGATGTGTTTTCTTCATTTTAATGTATTTATCAAATAACCTGTCTTTTAATTGTTTTTTAAACTCACACTTTACTAAAGTATAGCTCTCTCGCTTTGGCTAGCCTTCAGAGTGAGCTATTGTCTATTTTAAGAATTACTGGAGATGGATCAAAACCTTATTTTTAGACAGGTTTGAGCCCTCAAGAATACCGCAGAATTCTGTTTGAAAGCAGGGCATTTATTAAATTTCAGGACTTTAAGGAAGATCTTCAAATTTTCTAAACTACTTGATTTCTTGTAAGATTTAGACTGTTTATCATCACAACGTTGGTATTCTTTTTAATTTGGCTTTCTGAGGAAGATGTTAAATACAGAATCTTTTAATCTTTTGGTTGCCAGAATCAGCTGCTTTCAATGGAGATCTTACTTTTCTCACTCAGTTTGAGAAGAGCTGCAATCCTGCTATGGACAAAGGAAGAAGAAAAAAAAATTTAGAACCTATCATATGTTACACAGATCAGAGATGATGAAACTAAATGAGTCTTGTTTTGTCTTCCCATTACAATATTCACTGTTGCTTCCAGTAGATGAACTGGGTGGCATCAAGTGAACCTACTGGCTGGAAAATTATCATTAAAGAAAATAAAATTGTTCTTCAGACAATATGCAATTAAGTTGTGGAATACATCATAGGGTGTTGTGGATGTAAAAAAAAAATCTCAGTCTCAGTGGAAAACTAGGCAGCTTGATGGAAAAGAAAGCTGTTTGCATTACTTAGGGTAGTGGATACCAAGTCTGGCTAAGGAAGTCATTGAGCTACAAATGGTGGGAGGCTGAGCAAGTGCTTGGGTGAAGCATCACATTTGCTTGTTCGGTTCTTATTACTTCTTCCTAAGTATCTGCTTTTGGCTACTGTTGAGCATAGGGTTAGCTATCCACTTGACCTGACCTTAATGGCACCAGATGAAGCAAGTACAAAGGCAGTGAGCTTTGTGTTCTAATGAAAGAGATGACAAGACTCAATGATTTGAAAATGATGGGATTTTTACCTGATTTTTTTTTTTTCCCCCTCCTCTGAGTGCATAGCTGGCAATACCCAGTGGTGGGTTTTAGTTTACTTATCCCCTGTGTTGGTTGTTTATTTGTGGTCTCATACTAAATTTAGCTTCACAGGAACACAAAGGAGAATCTCTCTTTTAGATTTGAAAGCTTATTTTTTTCCCAAATAAGACTTAGCGTATATTATTTTGAAACATATAATTACATACAAAAGTCTTAAAGTAAGAACTGTACTTATTCATGACTCATTAGTCTAAAAATTTTTAGACTAATTTTTAAAGTTGGCGCAGGTAGAATTGTAACTGCATTGTTAGAATATCTTGTCAGTATACAAAAAAAAATCTGTCATGAGATTAGTCTAGGCAAGCTTAATATTATACCGGATTGAAGCTGTCAGTGATAAACCTCCTAGGAAGATCTTTCTGCGTTCTACTCCAAGTGTTATAAAAAGGTTAAATTCTTCCCCCTTCCTTCAACATTCTCTAAGGCAAGAATAAATTGCATTACTTTTAGCTTAGCTCCCTTTGCAAATTAAATGCTCATCTTCATTATTTGACACATTATCTTGGTTAATTTCACCAAATAATAGTAGATTCAGGGTATTAAAATATTTATTTTAACTGTTGTGTTCTCAAGATGTAGTAATGGCACAAGTTACTTGGTAAGACTGCGAAACATTGTTTGAAATATAAGTGCACAATTTTAAAAAACTTAATTCATAATAAAGAGCATCATGATTTTCAGTTGAGCTTTATAATATTTTTTTGATGGTGTTTTATTTATATGAGAGCTAGAGAGTTGAGGCATGTGGTGGTCTCATGCAAGATCCTAGCTACAAGAGGAACTTGAAACTTCCTGGGTTTTGGTCGTATAGCAAGACTGGTTTGGATTTTAACTAGTCTAGTTTCAAAAGATCTTACTGTATTGGGTTTAGAAGAAGTGGTAAAACAAGCATTCTGAAACTGCGTGAAGTGAAATTTGAACACTATCAAAACAGTTTGCTCATCGTGAATGTGAGACTACTTGTTTGTCGTTTCATCTTAAACTGCTCCAGAAGACTAGCTTTCTGGAAGAATCTCCCCTTTCAAAACAAACAAGTAGTATAGCTGTTGATTAAGCACACTTCTTTCCCTTCCTCCCCTCTCTGATGTACTTCAACCTGTTGTATATCTGTTTTGCCAGCCTCAGGAAGAGTTTCCGGGAGGATGTTATTTTGTTTTTTAAATATAAGCCTTGTTTATATAACACGTTCTGCGTAGTGAGTTACAGCACACTCAAACAGGTCTGTCCTGGGTACCCTATAAGAACCTATTCTTACATGCCTTTAAGATGCTCCAGTTTTGACAAGGTCATTGATGGCTAAATGTTTTAAAGATTATCAGTAGGAGGGTTTCTGTTGGTAGCTGAGGTCAATTATTAAAAGTTAAAGTTGGCTGGTTAAAAGCAGGTCTATACTTGTACATTCTAAGCCTTGAAGCAGTTTCAGCTACTTTAATTAGCTACTATTATTTCTGTTAGACATGCAATTTAACCTGACTGGTAAGAGCTCTCTTCACATGTCAATATAATTGAATTTATCACCTTTTTAAAGTTGAAAAAGATAATCTCCAGAGAGGTACAAAACAGTGATTTGCTAAATATAATTCTACAAAATACAAGTTACCAGAATTCACCTTCCTGAAGTATGGCCAAATGCCAAATATTGTAACTTATATGTTTGACAACTCCATTTTGGCATGTGCTAATTAAATGCAAGTGACACAAAGTATATCCCCTCAAGCTTAGTAAATGTGGACATTAGTAAAGTATCTTTTAAATGGAATTTCAGATTATTAAAATAATCACGTCTTATAACCTGCAGCAATTCAGAGAGATGTTTCATAGCTACAGAAAGACACACCTTAGGTCACAGCACCACACTGTAGAACTATCTGGTGAAAAAATGATCAATACTGATAGGCTATGACAGGCTTTTGGCAGCTTTAGGGCAACCTGTCTAGACTTTGTACAGAGAAAAAAGTTGTCTGTACATTACATTGTTGCAGTCTTATTTTTCCTCTTATAGCTCTCATCATTTTAAGCAATTATACTACAAATTATCGCTGGATTTTTTTCAAAGACCTTCGTGCTGTTTAATGTACTGATATTTAAAAGTCAGGTATTGTAAATATGATCTATACATATTTGTTACCTGAGTAGTAGCTACAGACAGTCCATGCACAAAGGTGTTGAGAATGTCTGTTATGTGTTCAGTAGCGTGTACAGTGTAGGGGTGAAAAGAGTCATAAATAGGAATTGATCTTTATCTTTAGTTTTCAACATGGTTATACATTGGAATTCATTGCATTGATACTGACAATACTGATTTTTCTTCATGACAATTTTAACCATGAGAACATGGTGTTGTAGAAAAAGACCAATGGCTAATGATCACAATAAACTATTTTATTTATGTCCTTATCTGTAGGATCAGAAGAGGTTTTGTCCTGGAGACAATATGCATAACTTAGGTAAATAATCTCTTTTCCTTGTATAGTTTTACGCTTCACTAGTTACTCACCTGCTACTTAGCTGTAGAACAGTCTTTGTTCAAAAAGAATCAGTGAAAGCTGTGGACTGTTGTGTGACTTGCAGTGACTGGACCCAGAAAAGAGTCTGCAGCTGCAAGAGTCTTATGTGTTTATGTGCCTTATAAGCTAGAAGTAAAGTTCACAATGAAGGCTGCGGATGGGACAGCTCTTTAGTATGGAGGCTAAGAATAAAGATTTAGGCCAGACTTAAGTCTTTAGTATTTGGCTGACTAAAATGCAGTTAAGTGTTAGTTCCTACACATACAGAATGGACGTAGTTCTTCGGAATGTGGATGCAATTTGGAAAAATAAAGATAACAGTTGAGAATTTATCCTCTCCATCAAAATAGTCCAAGTGTTATCAGAAAACAAATATATTTCAAAGTATTTCACTCAGTTTATCTATGAAACTGATCAGTGAGCTACTGAAGTACCTGTGCTAAATGATTTGTTTGTTTATTTACAAGAAGAAAGCTGTACTCCTATGGTTTTGAATAGTAACGTAACTATTGAAGCCTGGGCACAATGGATGCTATCAGAAAAGCCCCATATGGGTGCACTTTAGATCCTTTGAATACCACAAAAGTTTAGTGACCTAGAAATGAATCAATAAAAAGCCATCCTCTATCTGACAAATTGAAGAACTGAGGGATTCTTACAGATGCATTGGCTTTAACAATTCAAGATACACTGTTTGTAAAGGCTTTCTGAGACACTTCTAATCCTTAGAGTACTGTAGCAGACTTTGAGATATTTTATATTTAGATCACTCTCCAATAGTTCATTTCCTATTTTTCCTGTAAGTTTACTTTTATGAAAATGAATGTAAGAAGGCTAAAGGAAAGGCTAATGCTAAAATGATGTGTCCCTACACTGAATGTAAATGTTTTTAATTTACTAAATTGAAAATTCCTTATTTTGCAAAATATGTTTTGGAAGGGTATAGCAGTGTAAGAATCTCTCTAGTCCTGTTACATTAAAAATAAGTTTATCATGCAAGAAAATTAAATATCACCTTGAATAGGTCAGTAAAAGGGGTTTATATCCCTGTTCCCTCTTGCTTCACTTCTATAGTTTAACATTCCAGCATTTTAAATAAAATTTGAGTTAAAATTATTCTTAAGTACTACAGCCTTATATCTTCTTCGTTTAGTTAAATAATCATCAACAGACAGTATGATTTCTTCTATTTATCTGTGGTTTATGGAGTTTCTGTGTTATGTTTGGCATGAAACTGAGCATGTTGTTTATTTTCTAAGGAATAATATAAAAAAATGATGATCCAGAAAGATTCTCTGTATAGCTACATGCACATACACAAACCATAAAATACTTGGACGGAATGAGATACTGGCTTATACTCCACTAAATGTCAGTTAAGTCATATGTCCATATGCAGTACAACTCAGTGTTTCTGTACCTCAAATGATGGAGAAGGTAAACTTTAACCTGTAGATAAAAATTAAGAAATCAAGATTTTTGATTCACCAAGGATGACATAAACATTACAGCTGAGGATCCTTCCAGAGCGGCCAACTAGTGTTCCTTTTCCCCTTTTATTCAGATGGAGAGAGGTCTAACAAATTTGTCTCCCTCCACTGACCTCTGCTGCAGTGATGTGATTGTATGGGAGGCTTGGTGGCTTCTTTCAGGTAGCTCAGAGAATTGAGAAAAAATTAATAAGTAGATATCATGCTGTCACTTTGATTTCTAGAGGGCTTTGGTTCTTAAATTGAGAACTTCATAGATGGAGATTAGAACATGGAAGTCAATGTACTGTGAATAATATATTACCAATTATATTGCAGTAAGCAACCAAAGCATAACTAAGTAGACAGCACTAACACAGACAGGACAGGAGCTGTATGTGTTCCCTGACTCCAGTTATAAGGGAGAATTACTCTGCATATGGGTTTTATTTTCCTCTCGTTGAAGCTAAGATCTAAGCAGGCTCCAAAGACTCCATTTACCAAATAGGACTGTAATACTTCAGAACTTTAGATAGTGTCAGTTCTACTTTTTGCTTCTGCAGCTGTAGTGCTTCAGTTTTATCTGAATTGAGTCTTGTCTCCATCCTAGTCTTGTACATGGATCTACATCCTCAGTCACAGCACAATGTAGGGAGCAGAGTTACTAGGAAAACAGTTCTTCAGTACCACTGTTAGTGGCTTTTTAAGCATGCAAGAGTAAACTATATCAAATATTTCACTGAGAGCTCCAAAATTTAAGGAAACTGCAGTTTGTAATTCTGTAATGCTTTTGGAAATCAGTCTTGCTGAAATTGTAATAAGGAACCCAGCGCTCTCAACAGTAAGCTTTGGTCAGTCCTGTGCTTTGCGCAATACTGATCTGGCCATATTTTTCACTAGACTGTTATTTTTCAGAAAGATAAAAGTGTTACTGGAAGTACAATAGAAGGCTCATATGGCCTACTAGGCGGGTTAACAGTATCAAAGGTTAATTATATTAATAAGATCTGAGTTGTTAAACCCCCAGACTCTACAATAAACTGGATATATCAATGACTAGTATTAGTAGCAATAGTGTTGTAATTATTGTATTCCCTTTGGCTTATGTGAATGTCCAGTTTTATGTAATTTCCTCTCGTAGCCATGGTGTTATGAAGCATTCTTCTCTATCTTGAAATGTTGCTTTATAGTCACTTCTAGTTCATTTCTTGGGTTTAATGAAAGGGAAATTTTTAAGTAAATATTTCTCATTAACAGCAAAGTAGGTAATCTTGACCTTTAGGGTTTATTCTGAAGAAGAAAGGAATGAAACAAATTTTCCAAATTTGAAGTGTATACATTTTATCTTAAAAAAAAAAAATCCCAAATGCTAAATTTAAAAGTGAAATAAAAAAGCAGGAAATAAACTCTGTTTTGGCCAATATCCCATGAAGGATAAGCAGTATGTCTGGGAGAACTTTAATCTCCAGTGATTTTGAAAACCTGTGGTTTGAATTTCTTTCTCTTGTTAATGTAAGTACTGAAAGTGTCAGTACTTGTGCATGATATTAGGAGTGTTGCAGTACAACAGGATTTTGCTGTGATTTGTTTCTTAAGTTTCCCCACTGCTATCAGTGTTCTTTCTCCTTTACGGATATACATCTCCTTTCTTTCTTTCCTCCCACTCTTCTTCATTGGGCTGGTTTTTTACTCTTAAGCTCCAAAGCACACTATTCTGGTACATATCAAAGTTATATTCGTTTTGTTTTCCTCCTTTAGTATTTTTTACAAGTTAGATATGAATGACAACTTTCTTATTTTCAGCCTTTTTGGGTTTGTGGGTTTTCTTTTAATATTTTCATAAGTGATTTATAATAGGGAGGAAATTGTTTCCAAGTCACTCAAAGAATGAATTAAGAGTCTCGCTGGTTCTGTATAAAGAAAATCTATCTCTGTGTATTTTTGTGCCACAACATCCCTGTGTATTATCTTCCAGCAGCCAGATTAACAGATGAAATAGTGAAACTGTATGTTGCATTTAATTTTCTCCCAAACAACATATTTCAGATATCTTTCTAAATAAATGTCAGAAATACGTTGTTTCAAAGGGCATGATCAAAATTTTACCGCACAAATAATTGGGTAGTTATATTGTTAGGAATTTTTTTCCTAGCATTAACATTGCTATTGTTTATATTTACTAAAAATAAAGAAAATCAGAGATGGTTCAAATTTCAATGATTATTTACTCATTTGCTTCCCCCATAGTCTAGAGTTATGATAAGTATTAATTGTATGAAGCTCACTATGAATTTTTATTCCTAGTAATTTCTGATACTTAACTTCCAACAAAGAAGTTGAATATTAACCTTTATGAAGTCAGTGGGAGTTTGTATTTTTATTTCAGTATTCACAGTGTCTGTTAACAAGTATTGTCTCACTTCCTATACTATGAGTTCATGTGTCTTTTGAATGTGTTCATGATTTTGCTGTGGTTAGCTTTCAGAAATGGTGTGAAAAATTGTCTGTTTTTTTCAATATATCCATTTGTTTTGCCTATTTTTCTAGTTCTCACAGCGTTGAAATGCAGATGTAAAATGTCTATAAGAAATATCTTTATATAGCTTTAGCATGCCAAATATGATTAAGTTTTGAAAGGCATCAATTAATACATATTTTAAGTAAGTTGATTAGTATTTTAATAATTAAGAATATAAATATCAACACAGTTCTCCTAAATTAACAAAACCCCTTCCCACTAAACTGATATCATTAATGTTCATCAATACTTATGGGAAACCTTGTTAGGAAGATAGCACTATTTCTGTATCCCATCCATATCTTAGTTTTCAATCATTTTTTTTTTGCCTTGAAAAATTAGGAATACAATATTATCAAGCATTATTTTTAAAACTTTGGAATCATATTTTACCTGTTATCTCCATTGTACATTATATATTCTAGGAGGTAGACCAAAAGAGGGCTTTTATAGTGTTGTGAAAATCCAGGTGGGTGATTGATCTAACAAAAAAGAAAAAATTCCAACCATTCTTGTTTTCACAGAGGAAGATAAATACGCTCTTTACTCCAATTTGTTGTTCAAGTATTTTCTCGCAGAGGGAGTTGTCTGTGGACATGAATTGTTTGTTGCTTCTGCTAAAGAGCATCCTGACAACATCTTAAAGGTAAAGAAGACTCATAGCTTTTGATGAGTAAAGCTGAAATGTCTTAATGAATTTAAATACATTTGAAAGTGCACATATTGTGTAGTAAGAAATAAATCTTGGTGATTCATAAGAATGCGTTGGGAAGTCCAGGAGTATTTACACTGGCCAGATTGGGGAATTAAATTTAGCTCACTAGCCTGCATCTATGGATAGTGGAGTAAGATTCTCCCGAGGCCAAATCAGGTGAGAAGCCTGCTTATTCTTTATTTTAATTATGGATGAAAACCAGACAGACTACCTGGCTTAGTTGAATGATGTGAGGAAACCCACCTTCCTTTATGTGTATGTTTTGTTTTGTCTATTTTCTACTAAGAAACATGGTCAGTTTTGGATCAGGTCATATAGAAAGGTTTCTTTCAGACTTCAGTGTGCTCCTAATCAAACACTGATAATTTCCATTATAAGGAAATTATATAAGGGAAAAAGCTTGATCAGCACTGCAAGAAAATGCTGAAGTGTGAGGATAATCTTACAAAATTTCATTACATTATTTATGGTTTTTTAAGGCTGCTTTTTTCTAATTTCAAAAGCAACATATAATTTACTGATTACTTCTGCATTAGGTGAAGTCTGGCTATTTCCTTAAGAGTCTTCAGAGACTATTTCTGGACAAAAGTATTACTTTTCTTTTTTTCCTACCTAGTGATGGTAGATTCTATGCCTTATCTATTCAATATTACCTTCAGCATTCAAGAAAAAGTATATTCTTAATGAAATCAGATGATTATGGTTATGAAGAATTTAGTAATTTTTTTTAATGATCTTGAACCAAAGAGGGTTCATTTAGGGCTGAAATTTTTCTAATTTGTTGTGGTTCAAAATACAGCCTAAACAAATAGGTTAGAATTTGATTATTATAAGAACATGCTGTATTTTTAAATAACTGATAATCAAGTAATTGACTCTCTGACTGTAGAATACAGAATCATTGTGGTTGTTTTTCTCATCAAAATTAAATTATTAAAATGAATATTTTTATTACATTGCATTAAAATTTCTTAAAATTGAGTTGTTAACAGATTTTATTCTTCTATCAGTCACTTTTGAATCAATTTTTCATAGCATGTCATAATTTTCCTAGCTCCTGTTCTTTATGCTTTTGCAAGTTAATCAATAGAGGTTGTTAAGTACATCTGTCCTTCTTGTACCAGTTTGTGGTCAGTTAGCTTGGTGTGACTTACTGAGCTCAGTTTTCTGGTTTGACATAAGTTTTCCTTCTTACCAGACGCTAGCTAATAATCCTACATTCATCCACTGTAACTCCATAGTGGTGTTACTATAAGAGAACAACATTACTACACAAAAGTTCAGGCAAACATAATTTTTTCTTGTTTTCTTCCTCCATTTGTGTGTTTATCTATCCAACAGTACTCTTGTACTTTTCTACTCTTACCTTGATTATTCAACACTTCCTTTGATTAACAGACAAGGCACAATAGAGTTGATTTCTCTGATTTGTGTTGCTGTCTTGAAATTGCTTCGGTGAAGTAACCCTGTAATATTCTAGGCATCAATCTAGAAAATTGTGTACTTTCACACTTGGAAAGCTTAGGCACTTGTTGAAATGCTGATATGTGTAACCTAAAAAATATTATTGCCTCACCTAGAAATAATCCATCTAAGACTGGCTTTGGCTGCAGTTAGGTCTCCAAATCCCAGAGGCAGAGGAGTCTTCCCTACAACTGCCTGACTTGACTTTTAAGACAGAGGACCTTCAGGTGCTTCAAGAAGTCCTCTCCTGTCCTAAAAATTAGCTGTTTGGAATTTGGATGTCTCTACGCAGTCAAGATTCTAATATAACAGATCTGATTGTTGAATAACATTGCATTTTATTTAATGAGATTAGTAATTAATTTATTTTCAGTATCTGATTGGACTGCATTCTTTATTGGAAAGGTAACATACATACGGTACATTTCAACCTGAATTACATATTTTATGCATGTTTTTTATTTTATAAAATTCAAGGATGTATTCAATATATTCTGTAGCTAGTACTCTAATTAACTTGTGTTTTACATAGAGGCAGCTCATTAACTGCCTTATGTCCATATTGTGTGGTCAGTCAATTTATACATTCACTTCTCTGCTGAGATGCCGTAATTGCCCTGTTCTAATTTTATGATGTGATTGGAAGTTTCTTGAACCTATAACCAAGACAAATATTGCTGGTAGTAGGAAGGGGAAAAGACATTCTTAGAGACCATAATTATCTTGAAATTGTGTATAACTAAAAGACAAGCAGAGGATAAAAAGCCCTGATCAGCTGCCTAAGATATATTATATTACCACCCACCAATTTATCCATCATCCTTTGAAAACATATTCATGCCTTTTGTAGTCAAAGCTCCTTCAGGAAATTGGCATTAAGACGTAATGCTGAAAAATTATACACCTCTGGTAAAACCTACAGAACTATATACATGCTGTTTTTCAGGAAGTATTTTAAACATTTGAGAGCATTTCTGTTCAATCTGTGTTCTTCAGCAAAAGGCAACTTTTTATTATAAGGGCATAAATACTAGGAATAGTATATAACATGAGAAATAGTATGGTATATTTCTGTGATCGGTCGTAAAATAATAATGATTGCATTGGTAAATAGAAAATTAATTCAATAATAAAATGACTAAAGGAAACATTGGATCTTAACATTCCATTTTCAGTACCGTACCTTATAAGTTTAGACTACAAATTATGAAAGGCTGTTATGTGCTCAAGCTTAACAACAAAGAAAACTAATAAAGTAGATAGGGCTTTTTCTTGTATCTATTTCCTTAACTTCACTGTGTTTAGTGCTTTTCTTTCTTTTTTATAATTCAGCACTCTAAAGTTAATGCCAGCTACTATGTAGTTGCATATAGTGTATGTATTTGAGAATGGAACATACATATTTGAGTATACAGTTATATTTATTACAGGGGAAATCTTAACTTAAACACTGTTATGCTTTTTGCAAGAAACAGCAAGCAAGGACGTTGAATATTTCCTTGAACATCACTGTAGCTAAAATTAAGACAGGTTTTGCATCCACTCCAATTTAGTTTGGGTACCAAACTGACTTCTGGAAGCCATAAAAATACAGTAACTATGTAACAGCTTAGTTCTTTATGCATATTCTCCTTGTTAGTGTCAAGGTATGGTTCCAGTCTTAAAAAGAAATAAAAATAAAAAAAACATTCTGTGTTTGTGGTGGCCTCATTTCTATTTTTTTCACTTTTCCTACTTCAGATTTGTCACTAAAATTCTAGAACTGCCTAAACTGCCTATATAAAAATTTCTTTGTCCTTTTTCCTAATTATTTTATCTAGACCTTGGAGAGGAACTAATTTAATGAGAACAAGTTTTAATGAGAAAAAATTGGATTATATTTGCCAGTTAGGAACTCAACTTGACCATAAAGAGTGCTTTGTGTTAAGTTGATTTTACTGTGGAACCTGTGCAAAGTTTGTCTCAAGAGGAAGACTGCTGGTCATAGTATGTGTTAGGAAATGGAAACTAGCATCCCCTGAAGCCTACTAATTTCCCTGTGGGACCTTGGCCAATGTTACCTCAATGACCATTCCACTGGGAACCTGGAAGCCTGAGGTGGAAGAGTGGGAGGTACAGAACTTCTTTCTAGAGCTGCATCTGTTCATCTCCTGAGGAAAAGCTGACCATTTTGTGCAATTACTGCATTTCTGTGGGATTTCTGTTTTCAAACTGGAATTTTATTACAGGATATTTCTAGACTCTCTTGAAATTGTCTTTTGGAGGTTCTTACAAGAAGAGAGAGTAAAGAGCACATCCTTCAAGGAATAAACATGTACTTTGACATCATCTGTGAGCCTGCCACTTATGGTGCGGATGCTTTTCCTACCTCTGCTATAGATGATCGCCTTCTTAGAAAGAAATGCATTCCCCAACATTCCACCCCCAGTCAAGTCCTCTGAGGCTTGCCATACTAAGGCATGAAGCAGTTATACATCTGATGTCATCGTACTTCCAAGTTTGAAAATGAACAGTGTGCAAACAGTTTGCTCTCTGGAGAACTAGACAGAAGATCCTCTTGAGTGGTAAAGCCCTTAGTGTGCCCTTTTATAAGGCACACAGCATCACTGTGTTTGCTGGACGTATCCTGAAGTCAATCAGGAGAAACCATGCTACTGGTGTAGAGTATCACTGTGAAAGGGAAAAATGCAGTGTCACTTGGCCACGAAGCTGGGAAGTGCATATAGAGAAGCGTAATGGTTTATTAAAAAAACAATAGGGACAAGATCAAAAAGGCCTCCAGGAACAAGTTTTTTAAAAAATCCTACCAAACAGAAGAGATCTCTAAAATAGAAGTGAAAATATATTTTAAGTCTGGCATTTTGCTTAAGTATGTCGTTTGGAGAAGACTGAAAAAATTCCACCTCCAACAAGTTGGTTATACTGAGCAGACCTGAAGAACAGAAAGTGCACACTTACACTTTTCCCACTAAACAGATGAATGCAGAAAGAATCTAGTAAAATATACTTTTGTTATTTCCAGGGTTATTTAAAAAAACAGCAGTCAACCAACGCACTGAGCTTCAGTGTATTCCTGTGTATGCAAACAGCCTCTTGAAAGAAACCATAGCTGTCTACACGGACTTTTTTATTCCATCAAAGTACATTCAAACATGATGCTTACATTTTTCCCACATAAATATGACTCTCAAACATTGTTTCGTTAAAATGAAGAATGCAGACCTGGAAGAAATGATCAGGCTGGTGAGCAGAGCTTTCCAAGCTTCCATTTTCAAAGAGCACGGTTCTAACTCCTTCCTCTCTTCTCTATGTGATGTTGTGAAAGAAGCTCTGTATGAATGCAAGAGGTATTTTTTCTATCATCTGACATTTTTAGATGCTACATAAAGAAATGTAAAGCATAACACCTTGAAAGGTAAAAATATATATGCAAGCAGGGCTACATTCCTATTATTCCTTTTTTCACA